TAAAGATAGCATATGATATATACGTTTGAAATTTCCTGTAGAGTTTATTTAATAAGAAATAAATAAGTTTACTTTATATTAACGTATTTTGCAACAATTCAATAACCTTTATTATACGGGAAATTATCAATATAAGGATATCAGGGAAAGTTTAATAATAATTTTAGTTTTCTACAATAATATTTTTCGTGCAATATTCCAAGCGTTATAAAAAAAATAAATAAATGATGTAGACCATTACTAAGTAATGTTCTTCATAATAATAATTTCCCGGTTCTTATATAACAGAAGGAAAGTATGGCGATTGGACAAAAAAGAAATGACTCTTTAAGATTTTTACATTTTTTGGACTTAGAAGACCTTAAAATTTTGAAAAAAAATGCAAAAATGTTGGGGTTTTATATGTATGTATGTGTGGGAGGAAAGATTTTTTTCACCCATTTTGAAGTATAATAACTTCTGTGTGTTTTATCGAAAATTTCTGAAAATTTGCATAAAATCTTTTATATTAGGGAAAAGTGTTTACAGAAATTTTCAGGAAAATCGGACCATTGGTTCGGGAGATATTGCCCAAATCCCTTAATATCTCTCGAACCAACCTGAAGACTTATAAAGGTAATGATAATAAAGTATTACATGAAATTTAATAATATAACTAAAAGTATTTTCTGGGTGAAATATTTTCTTTCTTTATTACATTAATTTCTACCATTTATTCTGAAAATATAACCAAATAGTTGCTATGTTTAACTTCCGATAATTATTTCCTGATCTAAAGAATAGATTTACTTTTACTTTACTAAAAAAAACATTTCCTCTAATGTAAAAATTACTTTTAGAATTTCTTTATTAACTTTGATTCTGTGATTGTGTATCTGTAAAATAATGTATAGTGTAATGGTAATTGTAACATCCAATAAAAAAAAAATACTTTATAAATTTTTATTTGGTTTTTTTATAGTCAAACCGATGAAATATAATTACTATTGTTAAGATTATTTTAAAAATATAGTGTAATGTTAACAAAAATAATTATCCGTACTATGGACATACAAAAGCATTATTATTAAATCATTGTTTAAAGGTAACAATTATATTTAATATTTCTTTAGTAAATACAATTGCAAGATAAAGCCAAAGGCATAACTGTATTATAACTAAGATTATAATTAAAGCAGTAAGAAAAATTATAAAATAATAAATAAAAGTCGTTAATGATTGCAGTTGCGATTGTTTTTTTCTAACGAAGGACAAGTTAAGCAGCACTCAGAATTAATACAAGGACAATTTCAACTTGAAATGAATTCCTTATATCAATGTTAATATATTAATCAATGATTATTTAACATTTCTATTAAGTCTCAAATATTCTATAATTAGTTATTGTTTATGTCTATAATATTGTACTATAAAAACTATTAGAAGATTAGTAATGTTAACTGTGAATATAAAATAGGTAAAGAAACAATTCGATAACAATATTCACAATAATTAACACAATACTTATGATTAATAAAGACCTTTATTACAGGATAATTTTTAAATAATAAAAAAAAGAAATTACAATTTAATTGATGAAAATTTATATAAAAAATGAAAAGAAAATTGAAGAAGCGTGTAAAGTTTTGGAAAACATCCAAGCTTTCAACATGTTTATTTTGTATGATTTTCCTACTCACTATACTTCCTCAAGTTAAAAAAGAAAGTAAAATATAGGTTATTTTCAATTTGTAGAAACTTTTTATATTATTTTTCTTAAAATTCGAGCTTATTTCCGTTATATTTTCGTCACGTTTCATTGAAACTTTAACAAATCTAATTAAAGATAAACAAAATCGTTATCTCAGTAATTGTAATGTATAAAACAATGATAACTTTGTGTATGTTATGTTTTAAACTTATTTTATTTCCTTTATAATATATAAAGAACATTAATTAAACCGTATTCACACGAATCATAGTTTAATTTGCGATTTTTGTGAATTATTATTATACGCAGTTTAATGTTTACGGTGTTATTCGATGTGATTTAATATTCTTAAGAGTTATTGCGGTGAATTCTTGCAGTTAACATTGTGGGAAGCGTATGAAATCTAAATAATTACAGTATTTGTCTAAGCTTATGAAACACGAGATAAAAATTATTAAACACTTGTAGTTTGTTGAGCCTTTGTGCCTTAACAACAGCCTAGCAGCACGAAGCTTTCTGTGTTTTCTTCACGCATCTAACACGTAGTTCCATATAGAAAACACTCGGGAGGCTCCTCATTGGCAAATTGCCTCAAACTATTGCTTTATGTGTACAGCTTTATATCATATTTTGCAAATGACCTTACTCAATGAATAGACATACAGTCTATAAATAGTTGAGTTTTCGCAACATTAATAACTTATTCAGCCTATTCATTAATTAAAACAATAAAACTAAATATAAGCTTATTAATCTTGCTAAACAATTAAATAATTATAATTTAATTACAAAGTTTAAATATGAAAAATCAGCAATATTTATATATTTAATTTAATCATTGAATAAATAGTAATAATAATTATTATTATTATTATCAACACTTTAAATAGAAAATTTCTATGTACTATAAATAAAACCATATTCATTCCTGGAGGTCATTCGAACTTTGAATCATTCGCAGTCCGAAGCAACATTTTCCATTAGAAATAACAGAAAGCGAATTAATGCATTCCCAAACCCTAAACAATATCCATTTAAATGAACTTAAAACAGCAAATACACATAATTTAAGGTAAAAATAGCACAATTAAATAGAGTAATAATTTATTATTACTCTATTTAAATATGTAAAGGTTATGTTGAGTCGAACAGAAAGATTTTTCGTGTTTTTGACAGCTGTCGTTACTGAACCTAGATGTGTCGTTTAATTATAACATTTATGAAATTTAACACTTTATTGCTAATGTGAGATTGTATTCTTTGTTTAGAAGCTTATTTTAATGTTCATATTTTCTTCCAAGAAAATTGAATTGTAATGTCTTCACGTAAAAAGCATATCGAACATGTTATAAAAAAGTTAAGTTTAGTTCACACTGAACACGATTCGCTAGCGAAAGTGAAAAACAGAGCGAATAACACGTCAGACATGACGTCGTTTCCGGCGAATTTTACCATTTCGCGAATCGCTTCGAAGTTCGGAACAGTCAAGCTTTTTCGCTAGCGAAAAAATTTCGCACCAATCGTATTCCCGCTAGTTGTCTCGTGGTTCTTGTTGTTTTCAAGATGGCTACAGAAACTTTCTCACGAAATAGATTACATGTCGTAATTACGGATTTTAATATTTCTCTTACCCAACATCGTTTTCTTTTCGACTTACTTTTCTTTCTCAATAAATAAACAAATGTGATTAAAGATGGAATATCGGAAGCGGCAATTTTGTTTTTCGAGATGACGTTTTCACTTGCTTGCAAATGATTGGCCGTTTAAAATTCGCAATCGCTTTTCGTTTTTAGTTGTAGGGTCATTTTTGCTATGCGAATAAAAATCGCTTTTCACATTCGCTTTCGCTATTCGCTCAGTGTGAACTAAGCTTTAGGGTCGACGAAGACAGTCAGGGACAGAACCCGTAGTATATTTATGTATTAAATATAAACATATTATGTACAGAATAGGTTTTAATAGGTTTTTATTTTTTATAACACTTTTATTTATTTTTCTTCTAATAAAACTTTAACGTAGATTCTAATTTGCCTTTATAGAGGAAGTTGTGAAAATCCAACACGTTGACTTTGCTGCATAGCAAAACTTTCTTGCAATGAAGACATTTTACAGATCATGCAATAAACTACGATATTTATTCTTTGTTTCCACTTTCTAATAGGTAAATAATACAACACATGGATATAAAACAACACAATACATGTCTTTTTGCATATCGTATACTGTACACGAACAACATAAAATTCAATGCATACAACCATGTATAAAATGTATACCAAATCGCCTATTAAAAATTACACACACTTACTCCACTGACATATAAATAGAGTTTGACCTAGATAAATGCTAAACACTTTATGTAGAAAAATGAATCCTAAAGAATGATGTTATGCATTCGGAAATAGAGACGTCATTGAATTCATGGATGAGGATGAGGTCGACGAGTATTTAAGATTTCAACATGTTTATGTAAAACAAAGACTAACAATGATTACAAAAACAGATAAAATATCAATACTTAACAACAGGGTTGAATAAAAAACACACATTTAAATCAATAAAACTATAATCAAATTATGAAATTAATGTAAAAGTATTCTCATATTCATTTGGAGTTATATATTGAACACACACACAGAAAACTAGAACAACTCCAGAACAAAACAATAAGAGAATATAATAAATATTCAAAGAGTCAGCCTTCGTAAAAAGGTTGACTCTTTCATGTAAAGAAAGAAGACAAAGCCTCACAGTTATAATACCATAAATCTTCATAACAAAAAAGAAACATCACGATTATATAAAGCAATAACTTTAAACCTACACAAATCTACTTGAATATAATACAGTACACAAATAAACAGACAACATAAGTAGGTCTTAGGCCTGAAAAGAACTCCATGGAAGGCGTCCTAATAACTTAATCTTAGCCAGGATCATGTCAAAACTAAGCCGAATTGCTGACTGGCTCGGGGGTTTATCTTTGGAGAGAGGCAAGGGTTCGTGATTACCATATATGATCAGGTTATTAATAAAAAAAAATTAGAAAAATCGAATTTTAATTAAAATACTCAACACTTGTAAAATATCGGATTGTAAGTTGTTAATACATTCAAACTACTTACGTAGAAATAAATAAATAAGAAGCATAATAAATAAAAAGCTAGGATACAAACAGAAATTATTATAGACCCGATATCACATACCCATAAAATGACATGTACAAGATCATTTATTGTTAAATAAAGTAAAAACACCCATAGTATACAAAATATATAACCAATAGCATGAGAATGAATAGCATGCTTACCGTACTTATAGTTCTCTCCTCTGTAAGCATCATACCACAAACGTTACACAAAAGCCTAAAAACATAAAACCCATTATAAAAAGCAATCATTTTAAAACTTACTACACACTTTAAGGAAATTTGTAAATATAGACACGTAAACACATTTACAGCATAAGCATGTAAAGGAAATTACAACTACTTTAGAAGTTATACCTTGACCTTAGGTTGGCATAGTAATAAGCATCTGTATCAAAATCTACAGCAGTAACACTAATAGTAACAATAATGGACTGAGAAATTTAACAGTTTCTGTCGATTTATTATGTCTTATCTTGATTATTCAAGTACAGTCGACCCCCTATAACACTGTTGATTTTTCTGTTTTATATGAATTCCATGTTGTACGAGTCACTTAGATTTTACAAATACGTGTGCTGGGCTGTGAACGGCTCATGTATTTGTAAAATCTAAGTGACTCGTACAACATGAATTCATATAAAACGGAAAAATCGACAGTGTTATACGGGAGTCGACTGTATAGTATGTGCTCTTCTCATTGTAGATTTACAACGATTCTGATATGTTACAATAGATAATTAATATATTTTGACAATAGAATTGATTATCGTCTTTATACGTCAATAAATTTTTTACACATTATGAATTATTTGTAATATAATTTTTAGATCAATTTTTTGAAACATTTTCTAGACATCGATAGCAATCTGAAGCGAATTAAAATTGACATTGAATAAAGTTGCTTGGTGGCCTTGATTTAGAAACGAATACTAGTTATTACACTTTCCTTGAACTGCGGCATAATTAATGCTATATCATAATTTTCCTCTGAATGTGCATGATTGTTCATAGAGAAGATATAATTATTATTTTTCTTCATCTTCGCAGATTAGATCAGAAAGTTTTGATGTCGTAACGGTATATATTTTTTTTCTTTTTACCGCTTCAATAAATCGATTATTCATCTCAACAACTAAGAATACAATGAGTAATGAGTGAACGAAAAATTACGTTAGAATTAAATTACTACAATTCTTTTAATTTAGATAAACGTTAGGCAATTGTTATTATACAAATTCAGTTGATAATAATCAATAATTTTTATTTGTAATTTCCTTCATCTCTTTTATAATAATTTAATATATTCAGTATATTTACACATAAATCATTCGATATTTATTCTTAATATAATTACATATTTTTGCCAGGACCGTCTTAATAGAAATATAGGCACCTGGGCAAAGAAGTACAATGGATCCTGTCTATACAAACGGTGGGTGATCAGAAAATTAGTGTTAAATTCTGGTGTGTGTATAAATTAGTGTGGGGTTCTCGTGTCCCAGCGTGCCCTTGAGTTAAGACGGCAGCATTTTGTCATTTGATTAATTACTTTTTCATTAATAAACTCGACATTAGTTACATATTGGAATGTTTATGACTGTTAAAGTGTTAATAGAGGTATTCTTGCCTTACAAAAGAGAGAGACCGACAATAGTTAGTCATCTGTAACAAAATTCATTGTCATTATAGCGATTTCTATGTACGGATGTAGTTTTTAAACTGTATTAAATAAATACGTGTAGATATAAAACAACTACAAATACCATATTTTTTCAGTCATTTCTTTCAATTAATTTTATGTATTGTAATATTTTTCATAAAATTATTCTATCGTTAAATTGAAGATACCTTTAAAATATTTACAATAAAAATAATTTTAATACTTTTCTTAATGTCTGTTAATGTTTTTAATTTGTAGCAGTTAATTAAAAGTAATTTATGTAATTTATATACTTTTTTTTTATTTTAAAAATATACGAAACGGAAAATACATAAGGAAGCGCAAAATTCGTTTAAAAGAAGATAGGAATTCATACAGTGAATGCACTCGAAACAGCACTTAAAAAAGTACTGGTTTTTTTTCTTAATTTTGTCGTTTATTTACATTTTGCGTTAATTTCAATTCAGAAAAAAAATGTTTTGAAGTGTACTTATAACGTAAAATAATGCTTACTGATAAAATAAGACATTACGTAATACGGTGCTTAAAAACTGCTTATAATTTACACATAGAAATAAGATATAATTTATAAGAATAAGCACGCTCTTCAATAAGACAACATAACATCTCTATTGAATTCAAACGTATAGAATGCCATGATACATTTAACAGCATTATTAATCGTGCGTTAAAGAAGTTTATCACGAATACTTTTTGTTAAATATAATAATCTTTATTTATATCTTTGTTATATAAATATGATACTTTTTTAAAATATGTGGTCATAGGCCTTCTATTACGTCAGTTTTTTAAAATTTAATTAATGAAATCAGATATTTATTTATTGATAAAATATTTCAAAAGAAATGTCAGAACATAAACTAATTTTTACAATGATTAAGTCAAATAATATCTAAAAATCTTACATAATAAACTATTAAAATTNCTTACTTAAGCGGCGCTCGACGTTCGACGTTCACGTTTTCCAGACACGAAAACTTCGGCCGCAACTTCGCTATTATCTTTGTCAACACGGGTATAAACTTTTGATTGGTAAATCATTAAGTTTATTAATAACTTTATAATATAAAAAGTTCTAAAAGTAAGACGATTATTAGTTTTGGGATTTCCCTTAAAACTCCTGTGATTATTTAATATACAGGATAGATTCAAAAAAAATTTTTTTCATAATTTACTGAGTGTTATGCGTTCAAATGTAACCTTCAGAATCTTCTTATTTGCGTCATACTATATACTATAGTTGAAGGGGAATTTCTATTTGGCAAGCGACTAAACATTTACCCTGCAGGCAAGCAAGGTCAGTAAAGTTGTTACGTCTATCGGTTAAACGAAGAAATGATATTCTATGTACAGAAAAACATCATTATAATATAATAAAATAAACAAAGACGAAAGTATAAAGAACAGAGGCGGTTATACTATGTTAATCTATCGCTACGGGGGAGCCGGGATCGAATCCGGGCGAGTAACTTCATTAGCTGTCCTAGATATATCGAACTTGATCAATCTATTGTGGGTATGGCCGAATCCACGATGGGTATTATTAAAAATGCCCTCTTAGTACCCAAAGAGCAAAAAAACAGAAAGAGAGAAGGAAAACTATGTTAATGTAACGTGTGTACAAATTTATTTTTAGAAATTTAAAACAATGACAGACATTTAAAATAATTTCTGAGTTTTTTAAACTTTATCTTACGAATAGTATTCGTTACATAATTATATAACATACATACTATACAGTACATATACACTGTGTTGAAGGAAAGTGTTTATTAACATTTATTTCTGAGAATTAAATACGGTCATCTTGTCCCTAGATTGCTAAATATTATGTTTCATAACAATAATTTTTCTTTACGATAAAGTAAAAGTTTATTTAGAAATGAGTAATTGAAGCGAAACATTCTACTACAAGATATATAATTCTTTCTGTCTTCATTGTTCATATTTCATTACCTATTTAATTATATGTATATTGAATTATAACGACTTTCAAGTCGTTATTTCCAAGAAAATAAGTTAAAAAGATCATGAAGCGGTTTGACTCCCTTCATAACTTAATGTAAGTTCATATGCAAATTCCTTAATAAAATTGAATATAATTTTAAAGAAAATATTGTGTAATTCATTATATATTAGTATATGTAACTATAAAAACTTAACTTAGGGTACAGTACCTGTACAATTGAATGAAACAAAAATGTGATCTATATTTACATTATTTTAACTAGATAAATAAACATTTTAAATTACAAAATGATGTATATTTTAAGGTATTTAAACGTTCGTAAAAAATACTATTGTTCTTTTCGTTTTTTACACAGGAAATGTATTAAAAGGTATGTAAGAAACATCTCTCCAGTAACAATATCGTACGCTAAAGCAAACATACAAAGTAAATAAATTATAAATTTTATGTAATTATTACAAAAACAATATTTTAAGTTCGAATATATTTCTTATTTAAATAAAAACATTTCAATGTTTAATTTTATATAGCATCAAATATAAAAATAGAAAATTTATGTAAATTTAAAATTTTGAATATAATTTATTCGATGTTTGTATATACGTGCTATAAATAAAGAGTAGGTTTAGAGGGGAAAAACACTACATAATTCTTTATTAATTATGAATTCAGACTACGTAAATATTTCCACATAGGAAATAATCCTTGTTATTTCCTTTCTCCCTCCCCCACTCTCTCTCTCTGTTTAAATATATTCGATTATCTTGTAAAGGAATTATCATTATATAGAATTTTTAAATCATGAAAATAGTCATGCAAAATATAAGAAAAAATTTAAATGTGATAGCATACGAAAATATTTTAAGGTAAATACCAATGTTTAATTTATTCAAAATACCATAGTTCATTGGATTAAAATTAGATAAATTAGATTATATTTCCTTAAAAAAAGGAAGTGTATGGTCTTATTCTTATCTGTCCTTTCAACAATAACTGTAGATGGTAAGGAGATTACAAGTTTATTTAATAGATACAATATAGCTTTGAATATATATATATATATATTTTTTCCTTATAAAAATTGTAAAAAATTTTAATGGACTGATATCTCTAAATTCAACTCTTAGAATATTATAACAGCATAAATTATCATTATGAAATTTTAGTATTTTTATTTAATAAATTAACTTTTGATTTAAATAAATGATATTTTTGCCAGGACCGTCTTAATAGAAATATAGGCACCTGGGCAAAGAAGTACAATGGATCCTGTCTATACAAACGGTGGGTGATCAGAAAATAAAGTCAGCTGGCACTCACATTAGCTAATGTACGCATGCTGTACTAAACCATGCCTATCTCCACAGGTGGATAGGTATAGTTATGCCTCCCCCAATCTAAATCCTTTAAATTTTTATTTGTGGGGCCATCCGAAGATGCTAGAGTATACCACTCCCATTGACAATGCAGACACGTTGCTGCAACATGCTGTCGACATTCCGGGAGGCCTGGAATCTTCAAAATAGTGCGGTAGTTCATGCTCTGATGTCTCTACACGTGTTGTATATTTTGAGCTTTTATTATGAAGGAAACTATGTAAGAGAGAATTATGTAAGAGAGCATGCAATAAAACCCGTCTTGCACTTAACACTGCCATAAGAACTTTGATTTCTCAGAAAACTCTCGTTTTAATTAGTATTAGTGTATTAATTAGTCACTTTTA